ATTACTGGTTCGACTCTGATCACCAACTGGCATTAACTATACCAAAAAAAACTTTAAACTAGCCGCTATCAGTCAAAAGAAATCCGGGCCGATTCGACAGATCATTAGTGAAGATATTAAAATTTCTTTTTGTTCAATTATTTCTGGGACACCCTGTATACCTTGAGAAACGCTTGAGCAAATAATTATCTAAATACTCGACGCTGCCTGAACTACAGATCTGCAATCCGACCCGACACCCAACCCAATCTGTGAATGGGTACAGGTTCACCATTGTAGAGTCGGATCGGTTCCGGTAGAGAGTGTCGATTTCGGGCTCCATTGCTAGGTATCCAGAACCCGGCCAGGATCCCCATTCCCACGAACTCGGGAACCAAGTAACTTGTCTCAAAATGAAATAAAAATGTGTATAAACATCAGAGGGTGTTCAAAAACACGCAAAAATGAATTATCAAGCAGTTTCCAGTTTCTTGGAAACAGAACTTCAAGGAACTGAAACTATGAGACTCTACTTGCTATCTTGCTCTCTTTTGGCAATACCCGCTTGGCCAGTGGCTTCGGGAAGAATATTTAGTCAAACTGAGCGAATTTTGGAAGCCCGTCGCAACAACTTCCATTGGATTCACTTGACTGCATCATGTTTTTTAAGAAACTTTTAAGTTATTTTGGAAATGTAATTGTAAGGTAATTTTCCGGGTCGGATACGAATTAAAAAAGTTAAACCAGCTTAGGACTCTAACCTGAACTCGTTAGATAGTACCCGAACCCGAACGCAAACTGTTCGGTTTTGAACATCGATTGAGTTTGGCTTCAGTGCATGCCTAGATAGATTTATTTTTCGATCGTGCAAAGGAATAGATACAATCTCTTTTATAAATTTTGTAGAAAACATTCTGAATTTAAAGCTGAAAGACGAAAGCTTTTTCTAAAGATGTAACTTAAGTATTTTGAGCAAGCACTTTTCCCATTGGTTCATCCTTCCAAATCATGTAGAGAATAAATTGTCTGCACTACATATATTCGAGTACTTCAATAATGGGCCATCATTTTAATTCGTGATATCGTTAGGTTGTCAATTGCAACGCATTACAAGAAAAAACACGGTGCTATTTACTGATTCTACATTTGATTATTTTCAATTTTTGTTAGCCACACCAAACATGGCTGCATTAGGCAACTCACGATATATGTTGGCTTGTCCTCGTTGTCATCGTAATGATCATCTTCATCGTCGTGATCATCTTGCTCATGATCTTCATCCTGATCCTTCTCCTGGTCCTGTTTATCCTCCTGGTACTAAGTCTGCACTTCATGAGGGTGCTCTTCGTGGTGCTTGTATTCTTTCTCGTGTTTCTCTTAATCATAAACTTCCTGCTCCTACGATTCTTGCTGCTTATGGTGTTGCTGTTCCTGATATTGAGGTTTATAATGCTCATCGTGCTGGTCATCTTGGGACTCATAATCTTGCTGTTGCTTATGGTCTTCGTGATGATTATAGGGCTGGTGCTGCTACTCGTCTTCGTGCTGGTGTTATTGAAAATCAGTATCAGTTTTGTTTTTTCAAAGTCGATGGTGATGATACGGTGTACGTGTGTGACCTGAAACATTAATGGTTTTCTTCATTGATACTTGGGTTTTTTTCTTTCCTATTTGAATTTCAATAAAGGTTCATTACGTGATATTTTTTTAGGGATGAGTGAGTTTACAGAGAATTTGATTCAAAGCATATCATACGACCAGTTTCGTCCTTGCTTAAGGGACTCATCAGGTACGTTAAGAAGCAAAAAGTAAAACTACATAAATTATAAAAAAAACCAGAATAAGAATCATAACAATATATGGGCAAAATCATTTGTTAGCGACGTGACAATGCAAAATTAAAATACATGTATCTCTCGATAATGAACTTCCCTGAAGCTAATTTTTATTTGTAATTTGTATGCTAAGTCATTGTAGATACTCTAAAAAATCAGTCCTATAGACCCTTGTTTGGAGGAGTTATAAGAAAAAACTAGCATTAGCGACGTGACAGAAAAAAGCACATCAATTGTCACTTCTTGCAGTTCAGGTTCAAAAATCTGCCATTCGAGATAGTAGTTTTAAAAACTAAATACTACGTTGTGTAAACCACTCCTGAGGGTATGAGGGTGAGTTAAGCTAACCAAGACCCAAATTTCGTCCTTGCTTAAGGGACTCGTGAGTTGGTTTTAACTCTGTAGTATTAGTTCGAAATGATTCAAAGAACAATTACAAACATAATACCATTAAACTATGCAGAATATCGAAGAGATCGTATAGAATCTAATAGAATATCCGGTGTGGGTGTGGGGTGTGAGTGTGGGGTGTGGGTGTGGGTGTGGGTGTGGGGTGTGGGTGTGGGGTGGGTGTGGGGTGTGGGTGTGGGTGTGGGGTGTGGGCGTGGGTGTGGGTGTGGGTGTGGGTGGATGGGTGAGTGGGTGTGAGTGTGGATGTGGGTCTTCCTGTTTGCTCCATCTACACTCATACCCACATCCATTTTCCACACCCATACTCCACACCCACATCCCACACTCGCATCCACCCACACCTACACCAACACCCACCCACACGCCACACACCCACGCTCACACGCACCCGCATCCATACTCACACTCACACCGACACCCACGCCCACACCCATACCCGCATCCACACCCACACACCCACAGCCTTAAAAAAAACTAGTAGTGACCATGCGTGGCCAAGAACAGTGACGCTCTCACAGTCTCCTATGATAACATCATCTGTATTTGCCAAGACTTTTCTTGTAAATCTCTGATGTTCTGAGATCTACAACACATTTATTGCACTTTTGATTCTTGGACGAAGTTTCTCCGAGCATGACGCAACCACCCATTTGCCCAAGGGGGAAAAAGCGATTTATGATTTATTGATTTAAAATGAGTTTAAGTGATTTTTTTGATTTAATTGAGTTTAGGTGATTTTTTTGATTTAAAATGAGTTTAACTGATTTTTTTGATTTAATTGAGTTTAAGTGATTTTTTTGATTTAAAATGAGTTTAGCTGATTTTTTTGACTCGAAACTAACTTAAAATGATTTAAAAATCGCATAAATCAGGCGTCGTGAAACGATTTTACAGGAATATAGGATTACTATTTTCTGTGCAGATCTAAAGAGGTTATATTGAATGATGATAGTCGTTTGTTATCCAACTAGTTTACCACGCCAATGGTGCAATAATCAGTCCATTAGCTCACGTAGAAAATGTAACACTTCATGGACT